GTATACGTTTATTTTAATACTGGCACACAAATAAAGGAGAGAAAAAAAACCCCAACTGAACAAATTTGTCAACAACGCTGGCTTAAAAAATATATATATGATAGGCGACGTTTCGGGCAATGACCCTTCTTCACGGCGCATATAGCGGCCAGAGAGGGCAAACGCCAAACGATTGTGTCCACGTGTGGCATAGAAGGCGCGTCATAAATAGACGCATCGAACAGAACCCAAAACGCAAACAGCGGGGCGACTAAAATAGCCGCAAACGTGCTGTGATCACGGATGACCTCTGAGCGCTCGCGTAAACCCCCCATAGGCTCAAGCGATGCGTAAAGTTCAGTGACGCACCTTGACTACCGTGCACGCAGGGCATGCGCGAGGCCGGGGCTTCGCAAGCGGCGTGCGGAAAAAGCCCCACGCGTGCCGGAATCGCAGGGAATCACAGACGCCTCACAAGCTTGGACAGACGAACGCTCCTCCGTGCCGTTCAGTGGCCGATCCAGCTGCCATTGGCACAGCAGCGGCGCACGGGCAGCCGCCAGACTCCCCCCCCCCCTCAAACCCCGGCCCTCGCGACCCCCCCCTCCTCCTCCGTCGTGCAGGGCGCAGTCGGGGCGAGCGGTGTGGCGCGGAGACGGAGCCAGCTCGAGAGCGGGTGCCGTGGAGCGAAGGCGTTTGAGAAGCCCCCCACAAGGTGACGAGGGGCTGTGACGATGCATCGACGAATCGATGACAAGCGGTTTTTATTTCTCATCGTACAGCCATCCAATCGCACGTGTTAGAAAAGCAAAAAAACGATGTTCTACCCATATATGTATTGTACGGTTTTGATTCAAGTGAAACACCGTCTAGACACTAGAGGTCGCTACATTTGCTAATGTGCAATATATTTTAATCGAGTGGCAACGATGAGAATCAGAATGTTTCTTTAGACTGGAGGAGGAATCCGATGAGCTGTGAAGCTCCTGATCACAGATGTCCAGGAGTTTGCATCCTTCCACCTCCAGTGCACCCACAACATGCAATCAGACCGTTCGTCTCCTTCGCATAGCTGCCCCTACACGCAATCAAACCCCATTGCGTCTCACACATCCCATCAGCGCTTCTGGGAGTACATCATTTCAGCGACATTGGCTCAACACAAGCAAAACTCTGGGACGGGTTTCGGCATTTGTTGTTTCATCGGCAGGGCCAGGCTGCTTGCTTGCACCAGATGGTTATAGGCAAGGACACTAGAAATGGGTCCGAGCATTGCAATGGCAATGTGTGTGTATGCGTGTGTGTTTTGTATCAGCAGCAGCGCGTTTGTTATATAACCTAAACCCTGTAATTGCAAATCTATTAATGAGATATTTGATTCAATCCACTAATGTATTAATCTATGTATGTATGTATGCGCGCGGCCGGCAGCCCATCTGTTCATGCATTCAATTCTCACGCTTTAAATCCGCGCTTAACGAGCGCCTGGTGGGTGGTGGAGGGGGGGTCAGTGGGGTGGGGGAATGCGGGGGGGGCATCCCGAGAGGAACTCTCCACGAGTGCCCTGCACTCTCCTCCCAGCACCCAGCACCCCCCCCCATCACCCAGCACCCCCCCCATCACCCAGCACCCCCCCCCATCACCCAGCACCCCCTCCCATCACCCATCACCCCCCCCCCATCACCCAGCACCCCCCCCATCACCCAGCACCCTCCCATCACCCAGCACCCCCCCCCCCCATCACCCAGCACCCCCCCCATCACCCAGCACCCTCCCATCACCCAGCACCCCCCCCATCACCCATCACCCCCCCCATCACCCAGCACCCTCCCATCACCCAGCACCCCCCCCATCACCCAGCACCCCCCCCATCACCCATCACCCCCCCCATCACCCAGCACCCTCCCATCACCCAGCACCCCCCCCCCCATCACCCAGCACCCCCCCCCCCCCATCACCCAGCACCCCCCCATTACCCCGCACCCCCCTCCCATCACCCAGCACCCCCCTCCCATCACCCAGCACCCCCCCATCACTCAGCACCCCCCCATCACCCAGCACCCCCCCCATCACCCAGCACCCCCCCATCACTCAGCACCCCCCCCATCACCCAGCACCCCCCCCATCACCCAGCACCCCCCCCCCCCCATCACCCCCCCCATCACCCAGCACCCCCCCCATCACCCAGCACCCCCCCCCATCACCCAGCACCCCCCCCATCACCCAGCACCCCCCTCCCATCACCCAGCACCCCCCCCATCACCCAGCACCCCCCCCCCCATCACCCAGCACCCCCCCCATCACCCAGCACCCATCACCCAGCACCCCTCTCCCATCACCCAGCACCCCCCCCATCACCCAGCACCCCCCCCCCCATCACCCAGCACCCCCCCCATCACCCAGCACCCATCACCCAGCACCCCTCTCCCATCACCCAGCACCCCCCCCATCACCCAGCACCCCCCCCCCCATCACCCAGCACCCCCCCCATCACCCAGCACCCATCACCCAGCACCCCCCTCCCATCACCCAGCACCCCCCCCATCACCCAGCACCCCCCCCCCCCATCACCCAGCACCCCCCCAATCACCCAGCACCCCCCTCCCATCACACAACCACTCCTCTCTTAGCACTCTCATCCCAGCACCCGGCACCCAGCACTCCCCTCCCATCACTCCCCTCCCATCACTCCCCTCCCATCACTCCCCTCCCATCACTCCCCTCTCATCACTCCCCTCCCATCACTCCCCTCCCATCACTCCCCTCCCAGCACTCCCCTCCCATCACTCCCCTCCCATCACTCCCCTCCCATCACTCCCCTCCCATCACTCCCCTCCCAGCACTCCCCTCCCATCACTCCCCTCCCATCACTCCCCTCCCATCACTCCCCTCCCGCCACACCTCTGTTTGCGCTTCGGGAGGCAGGAGGTGGATGAGGGTCGGCTGTGTGCGTATGGACGGGGGGGGCGGGGGAGGAGGGCGGGGGAGGAGGGGCCGTGTTGAATCGAGGGAATGTGAGTCTGTTGGAGGATTCCGTGACTTACATCGTGGGCCTCGCCTCTGTCGCCAGAGCGATTGTCACTCATCCGAATGGGGCCCGACGCAGCGAGGGGCGTGACACGTCTGCCGCGGGTGCTGAATGGTGACGGTGATGACGACGGCGACGATGTTGGCGATAGTAATGATGGTGGCGCTGATATCGATCATTGTGATGATGTTGGCGATAGTAATGATGGTGGCGCTGATATCGATCATTGTGATGATGTTGGCGATAGTAATGATGGTGGCGCTGATATCAATTATTGTGATGATGTTGGCGATAGTAATGATGGTGGCGCTGATATCAATGATTGTGATGATGGTGGCGACGCATATTCTGGTCGTAATGTTAGTGATGGTGATGAAGGTGATTTTGGCGGTGCTGGTGATGGCAACGGGAATGTCTACGGTGCAGATGCAGTCGCTGGCGACACTGCTTCTATTCTAATACTGCTGCTCTTCTGTCGATGATGAAGATATCGATTGCGATGGTGCCTCGCGATTATAATGACGGTGACGAATCTCGTCATGGCGTCCGTGATCGAGTCGACGATGGTGGCTTTGAAAACTCTTACGGCCTGGAGCCGAAGCCGTAGCGAACATTCCGCACTGCGCCTTCGGTGACAGTCGTCCGTCCAAACACGCGCGCGCGCGCGGTCATTAAAGGGCCTCGCTTAAAGCGGTGACCTCTAAGGCGCTGCCTTCGCCGGCTGAGGAGTGCGAGCATTTGGCGCCACGATGTGAAATGACGCACGAGTGAAGTGATAACAGCGGCGGGCTGCTGGGAGGTGCAGGGATTTGGATTGGGTGAAGGGGGGGGGGATGGGAGTGCTGATTTTAGGTGGATAAGCCACGCGCGGATGAATGCTTTGGGATGCCGGCTGTGTCCAGTGTCAGGGCAGGAACATCGTATCGTCGCTCAGAGGTGGCCGTGATCTTCATTGCCTCGTTAATATGAAGTCTCTCGCTAGGGACACAGCGGGCGTGGCTCGCGTGAGGTGTGTTCAGTTGTTGTTGTTGCTGCTGTTGTTTTTATTTTTTATTCTCACCGACTCGTATTTCTTTTAATCCTCCTGTGTTCAGTGACAGGGCCAGGGTCTCCCGAAGTCGTGACCGTGCCGGCAGCGCGCAAGATCAGCTGCAATTAGCGAACGCCGGTTCGTGAAGACCACCACTCGCACACTCTCTCTCTCGCTGCAGCCGAAGTCAAGAGAAGGATCATTTGCAGCTGACGTGGGGAAAATAAAAAAACCCTCGATACTCGGAACGCGGTTTCCTCCGCGCCCTCGGCCGTGTGAACGAGCGGCTTGTTGCGTGGGCGCCCGGACAGAGACCGCGGATTCCAATCCTGGGCGGGAAATTGATAGCTTGGAGTTTTGAGTTCAAAGCGGCTTTTGGGAGTGGAGAGGAGCCGCGTGCAGGAAAATCCGGTTGTTCGTACGAAGATCGCTCAAGGCTCCGCATGCGAATCGCACGGGAGCCGCACGCGAGAGCCGGGGTAGAGCGCGAACACGGGGGGGGGGGGGGGGGGGCGACCGCCCCGTCGCAACCCTCGAGTCGCACGGCACCCGCCCAGGAGGCCTCCCACCGCCCTCGCTTCAATTGCTGCGGCGCCGCGAGCCCCAACGCGCCCCCTTCTCCTTCTTCTTGCCCACACGCACGCACCCGCGCGCGCACGCGCTCAGCTCGGCCCTGTGACGCGCGCGCGGCGTGCGCACATGAAGTGTGTGGGCGTGCGCCGAGTGAATGGGTCGCGAGTGGGCGGTGCAGGCGCGCGGGGCGGGGAGCGATGGGGGGGGTGGGGTGCTCCTTTATTCTGCTGGATTGCGTGTGTGAAGGGGGAGGGAGGGAGGGCGGAAGGGTAGTGGAAGGGGAGGGAGGAGGGTGGCCCAGATGCGTGACGGGACCTCCTCTGGAGGTTGTCACGCACGCCGCGCGGCGCTATTTATCGAGGCTGCTCGTGCGCGCCGCTGCTGTTGAGACGCTCCGGCCCGCCGGCGAGCACGTGGGGTTAGAGCCCCTGCCGAGTCAGGGTGTCCCGTGAAGGAGATCGCCGTGAAGGGGGGGGGGGGCCTTATTATCAACATCCAGCGAGTGCGGAGTTCCACTTACAGGTGCGTGTCCCTTGCCTTGAGGACGAGCGCGAGGTTCGAACCTGTGTGCGTCTGTCTGTGTTGTTGTATGTCTGTGTTGTTGTATGTGTGTGTTGTTGTATGTGTGTGTTGTTGTATGTCTGTGTTGTTGTCTGTCTGTGTTGTTGTATGTGTGTGTTGTATGTGTGTGTTGTTGTATGTGTGTGTTGTTGTATGTCTGTGTTGTTGTATGTCTGTGTTGTTGTATGTGTGTGTTGTTGTATGTCTGTGTTGTTGAATGTGTGTGTTGTTGTATGTGTGTGTTGTTGTATGTGTGTGTTGGTTTTTGGGGAGCGGTAGTGTAGCGGTTAGCGCGCTGCGCTTTGAACTTTGCGACCCGAGTTCGATTCCCGATCACAACCAAAACCCAGTGGCGATTATCTGAACCTGTCATGGGCCTTCCCTAGGTGGACTCAGCTTCAAATGAGTACCTGGTGCAGTGTGTAAACATCATCACTGGGGAGACAAAGGCGGCTGGGCGTGGTGTTGGCTACCCACCCCATTCGTGTGCCGTGCCGGCTTCATAGGTGCTCGCGAACAGCACTTGCCCCAACAGTCTGTTCGGGTTATGCGAGTGATCTTTGTCTGTGTTTGTACATAGACGCTTTTCTGTTTCCTTTCAAACTTTCGTATCCAGAAGCGTGATGACAGATCGCAAATGAAACATGGTTGCATTATACAGATCGGAGGAATAGCTGGGGCTCGTCTAGAGTCATTTGGTACGTAACGGAGTGTTGCTTATATTCTAACACGATAATCGCGTTGACTTTCGTGAGTGATATCGAGTCTCAGAGAGAATACCAGAAATGACAGAAGTTTATTTCTCAAATGTACCTTTCTCTCTCCGCGAATGCCACGACAAGTGCTGTTTGCGAGCACCTATTACTGCCGATCAGGATAAAAAGAGATGTCATGTTGGACTTCTTTCGCACCGTACGTAGCCGACCGTGCTAATCGGAGGTGCCGGGGAAGGATAACAAACTAAACACAAGAAGCAGTCCGAAATAAACCAACCTCCCCCCCCCCCCCCAGTGCTGATATTTACGCGCCGCAACGAAGTAGGTTCTCATTTAAGGTTGAGTCGACTTGGGGGGGGTGTGGGGGGCACAGGATCAGATCACACTTGCCACTGATTGTTATCTATCACCGTGAATAGGAGCAAATTTGCCGGACAATGCACGCACACACACAAACACACGCACACAAAGACCCCCCCGGTAGCCTTAACAGGCTGCTGGGGCAAGTGCTGCTAGCGAGCCCCTATGAAAGCCGCCAAAGCGCACGAGGGGGTGGGTGGACAGCACCACGCCCGGCCGCCTTTGTCTCCCGAGTGGCGATGTTTACACATCGCACCAGGTACTCAATTGAGGCTGAGTCGACCGAGGGGAGGCCTGAGATAATCGTTAACGATGTTGGTCCTGAGCGGGACTGGAACTCGGGTGGCCGGGTTTTGTATCGCAGCGCGCTAACCGCTGCACCACCGCTCACCCCCCCCCCCCCCACCCACACGCACGCAAACGAAAAACAAACGAAGTTTAGTTCTGAAAAAGGACCCCCCGACAGAGGCGAGACAGGCGCCGCGTTCGCCGGCGTGCGACGCGTGAAGGCCGCGGTGAGGCCGGAGCCTCCAACGACGTCTTCGTAGACTCCGCACTCTTCTCTCGCCCGCGAGTGGGAAGCTCGCGCGCGGTGTCCCCGTGCGCGCGCAGCGAGCCGCCGCACCCGGCATCGCGAGACGCGAGACGGCACCGGGACGTGTGGCTGTGCCCACGGTGCGTTCAATGGTGCCCGCCAGAGAGGCACGGGCGAGTGAATTACGGGACTCGATGGAGATGAGATGAATGTTGTTGTTTGTTTGTTAAAGGCAACGGTTGATGTGATACTAAAGTAGAGGTTGTAGTCGTGATCACAATCATTGGATGAGAAAGGATGAGCAGAGAGGGAAATTGTGACAGGGCGCGTTGTACACAAGAGCCGTCTTCTTTTGCATGGCATTGTGAAAAGCCACAGTTTTTATTTTCTTCTTAATGATCGTCATAAATTAATGCAAAGGTTCCTCATCCAGTCCAGTTAGGTGGTTGACGCGGCGTGGATTTCAGAGACACCGCCATGGCGTGCGTGGATGGAGCATTCGTCGGTGACGTGCGTCATGGTTTGGACTTCTCCACAGTCGCAGTCGGGCGAGTCTTTGATCTGCCATTCATGGAACGTGCACGCGCATCTTTCCGTTGTTGTGTTCGAGCGCGGTTCAGCCGCTGAGACGAGCACACGGGCTGAGCAGGAGCAGCGTAGCGCCTGCTCGTGTGGTCCCCGAGTTGACGAACGTATCCCAGTGTCGACTGTGTGCCGGTCATGAGGAGGCCTTGATCCAGATGCGAGTGGACGAACGGGTGTAACGTTATTATAATAGTTCGCGTTATTATCGGTGTTATCATCATCATATTGTCTGCAACGATAAAGCTGACGAAACATTTTTACTAAACATTTTGAATTACAGGCTGACAGAATCACGCTTCCAAGAATAATTTCGAGTTCGACGGCCGATGTAAAACGCACACAAAATCGCGTGACAAATTCAATTCAAAGAGTTGAGCGTGGAGAAGTAACCGCGGCGTCCGCCTTTGTCTTCCCAGCCTCGTGTCTCCCTGCTCGACTCTGAGCCCCGTGCAGCTCCCTCGCAACCCCCCCCCCCCCCCACACACGACGAGCCCCAGCTGCCAGCTCCAACAGAAGACAGCGCGGGACAAGGGGGGCTGGGGGGGGGGTGTCTCGGGACGAGGGGACACGGACACGTGGGGGACGAGCGGGACCTGGATCCCCTTTCCCAACCATGAGCGCTGCATGCCCTGAGCTGCACCTGATGCAAAGTGCGCTCTCCTCCTCGCGTCTCATGCAGGTTCCAGAGCGCCGCGCGGCCTCATCCTCATCATCATCATCCTCCTCTTCATCATCGTCCTTGTCCTATCAAGCCTGCGTGCACGCGCACGGCCAGGCTCTCGAGCTGCAGCCGTTGGACCTGAGCCCGCGTCTCGGCACCCCAGAGTTTGTGCGCTTTAACATGGAACTCGCGAACGCCGACCCGGGCTACGGGGGAAAGACCTCCGACTCATGCGCGTTCCACCAGCACCACCAGCACCAGAATCATCACCACCAGCAGCAGCAGCAGCAGCAGCAGCACGAGTACCAGAACGCGCAACAGGACGAAGATAATACCGACCAGCGGCAGCCCGCGCCCGCGGTGGTGAAGGCAGAGGTGCAGCCCATGATGTCCTGCCTGCTGCACGGCGCGTCGTACCCACACCCGAGTCACGAGCACCACCACCAGCAGCACCAGGAGCAGCATCAGCAGCACCAGGAGCATCAGCAGCAGCTCAACGGAGGCTCTGGGGCGCGGGAATACTTCAAAGCGTCTCCGCCGCACACCCCGCCGGCCGCTTACACCGACATGCAACAGGAGCAGCAGCAGCAGCATCCGCAGCTGCTGCAGAGAACGTGGGACGTGGGGGCAGCCCTGGGCGCGCTGCCCTTCCCAAGAGACTACACCATCACCAGCCTCACGGAGCTCGGCGTGAAGGCGCTGCCCGCGTCCAGGTACAAATCCTTGCAGCCTCCATCCTCCTCGTCCCCCGTGCCCTACAAGTTCTACCTGCCCGGGCGGGACGCGCCGCCGAGCGCGGACGGGAGTCCCCGCTTCTCCAGCTACGTCGGCTGCTTCCACCGAGCTCCGGCGGGCGAACCCCGTGCCGGGTTCCCCTCGGCAGAGCCCCTACCGCCAGGGTTCGCGGTCCCGGGTGACCCGGACGCGCACCGCGGTCTGCAGGTCGCCTCGTCTTCCTCGCCCGGTCCCGGGTACTCGACCTTCTCCGACTCCCTCAACTCGCAGCAGCAGCAGCAGCAGCGGCTCAGCCGGGGGTCCCCGGGCGGGGATGCGTCGCGGGCCGGGGCGAGAGCGGCTCACGCAGGGTACGCGGAGGGCACGAGCGACGTGGGCGTCGGCAGGGAGATGGCGATGTCGTTCGCGGGTGGTCCCCTGCCCGCCGTCATGTCCGGCGGCGACAACTTCGACCTCGCCATGACGAGCAGAGCGCAGCGTTCGGACTCGGGCATGGGCAGAGGTGGGGCCCACGGGGTGGTGGGTGGGATGCCGCTCGCCCCGTCTCCCACCGACTACCCGCGGGGTCTGGGGCCACAATCACAAGCGTCGCAGCAGCAGCAGCAGCAGCAGCACCAACATCAGCAGCAGCAGCAGCATCAGCTGATGTCTCAGCGCTACGAAGACGTGGAATCGCCGGGCCGCTTCGCCGCGCGGCGCTTCCCGACCCCCACGTCTCCCCCGCCCAGCGAGGGGATGTGCGCCGTGTGCGGGGACAACGCGGCGTGCCAGCACTACGGGGTGCGCACGTGCGAGGGGTGCAAGGGCTTCTTCAAGGTGAGCGCGTGGGCGGCGGCGGCGCAGGGGGTGGGGTGGTGGTGGTGGTGGTGGTGGTCGCGTGCAGGAAGCGCGCGCAGCACAAAGACAAAGATCCCCCTGATAGGATTTGCTGAGGTTTTTTTTGTTTAGGGCAAGGGGAGCGGTTTGCGCGCTCTGCGATACGGACCTGGCCACGCGAGTTCGATTCTCGCTCGCGGTCAACACCCGCGACGAATATCTGAACCGGTCGTGGGCCTTCCCTAAGTCGACTCGGCCTTAAAAGAGTACCTTGCGCTGTGCGTAAACATTCTTACTGGGGAGACAAAGGCGGTCGGGTGTGGTGCTGGCCACCCACCCCCTCGTGTACCTTTCGATCCTTCATAGGTGCTCACTAACACACATTACAGGCTCACGCATGAACGCAAAACGCAAGGTCACGAATACACACATTCAAAATACAGACAAAGGATCCCGTATAGCCTGAACAGACTGTAGGGGAAAGTGCTGTAGGCGAGCACCTATTAAGCCCGGGACGGTACATGTGGGTGCAGTGTGGCCAATATCACGCCCAACCGCCTTTGTCTCCCCAGTAGTAATATTTAGACACCGATCCAAACACGAATTTCAGGCTGAGTCAACCTAGGGGAGGCCCGGGAACGATTCAGATATTCCACGTTTAGCTGAACAGCGTCTTGCGATTTTCAGATGCATTTAGACCCTCTAACAAATCCAAACTGTCGTTGCATGAATCTTAAGGGACTGTGGAGTCAAGTGGTGAGAGCGGACACGAAAGTAAGGCACACGAGAGCATGGTGTGGTGAGCACCACGCCCGGCCGCCTTTGTCTCTCCTGTGCTGATGACCACACACCACACCGTGGTATACAAGACCCAGGTCACTTGTTATTCGAGGCCGGGTATTGAACTCAGGAGTCTGGGGTAGCGTGTACAACGCGCTACCACAGACCTCGTATATTCATTCAGACATAATGATTTGTCCTGCTGCAGAGGAGTCGCAAGAGACGTTGATTGTCGCTTTATCGGACATCAAAATAACGACGATCGCATTGTCTCGCTTACAGCCCACTTAGCGAACGAGCCGCTGAAGCGTCAACAATTCGATTGAGTGCGATCCGCAGAGGAGGGTGCATGACACTTGCGAGTTACGTTCGCGTGCCCTCGCTGCACGGTCCACGTGATAACTTCGAGCAGGATTGAGCACATAATCACCGCCGTACTCCCCCGAGTGTGTGCGCGCGCGTGTGGGATTGATGCCAGTGGCGAATATGTGAACCGGTGCTGGGCCTTCCCCTAGGTCGACCCAGACTTAAATGAGTACCTGGAGAGACAAAGGCGTTCGGGTGAGTGGTGTTGGCCACCCACTCTCTCGCCAACAGCACTTTCCCCAACAGTCTGCTAAGGCTATAGGAGGGATCTTTGTCTTAGCTGTGTGTCTTTATTGGTGTCACAGCTGTTGGCCCGCTGCGCTACGATCCTGATAACCGGGGTTCGATTCATAATCAACGTTTTTGGGTTAGATCGCGTTATTTATAAATGTGTCGTAACCCTCCACTACCCGACACGGTCAATCAGCAAAAAAGTGCCACGCTGACAAAAGACAAATAGTTCACTGCTTGAGCCCGCCGGTGTATTGAAGCGTGAACCACAACATTTACAGTTTTTTTTCGATTGCTCGGCACGACGCGCACCCAGAGTGGCATCTTAGAGAGCGCAATCTGAACGTGACCCGATGTCCCGCAATCTCCGAGTACACACAGTGCGAGCATTGGGGGAGACAAAGGCGTACGCGCGTGCTTCTGACCACATCAGCACCTCGCGTGGTCGCGTCTGTCCGTCAGCCTCACATACATACACACACGGAAGCAGTAATCAGCCGCGCCGAATTGTATACCTGCAGGCGAATTGGCAGGTTCATTGGTGCCGGAGATCGCTAATTGTCTCGTGTCGAGCACGAGAGGTAAAGCGACACGAAACGAGGCGAGGCTAACCGCGGCCTCCGAGTAGAAGCGGTGAACCGCCGAGCCCTGACTCGTGGTGGAACGAGCATGGGGGGAAAAAACAACAACTTATTTTTGTTCATTATGAACTGAGACTGGGCCACGTTTGTGACAAGTTTCAGATTTCTATTGATTCAACAACAAGACACACGCAGATTTGGATTTGCATGAGCAAAGGCAGTCGCTAGACAGTTTCTGTTGTAACTTCACCGATGTACATCAACACATTAATATCAAAATTCGACGGCCGTTTCATCAATCCGCTGCTGGATGAAAGCATCCCCACGCCACGAAGGCGTCCATGTGATGTGCCCGAGCTTCACCACCGCCGGCCACAGCGCGGGTTGGGGTCGGGGGGGGGCGGACGGGCTGGACCGGTTCGAACATCAATCGCCACCGATGCATTAAGCCGTGGCCGGCAATCGCACACGGAGAGTTGGGCTAACCATTGCGCCACCGCTCCTCCCTTGCATCAGCTTATTGCGCACCGCTCAACTCGCGTGGGTGTCCCCGTGTCGCAGCGCACGGTGCAGAAGAACGCCAAGTACGTGTGCCTCGCCAGCCGGAGCTGCCCCGTCGACAAACGGCGCCGAAACCGCTGCCAGTTCTGCCGCTTCCAGAAGTGCCTCAGCGTGGGCATGATCCGAGAAGGTGCGTGGGGCACGGGGTGGGGGGGGGGGGGCACGGGCTCTAGACGCGCGTGTGTGGGGGGGGGGGCACGGGGGGAAGGGGGTGCCACGGGCTCTAGACACGTGTGTGTGGGGGGGGGGGGGCGCGGGGGCCACGCGGAGCACACGAACATCCATCCGCACGGACATTTGGGGGGCACGAGTACCCGTACACACGAGTATTGCCTGCACGTGTTTGGACACGCGGTAGCACAGGAGGAGGGGGGGGGAGGCTTAGGGCGCACGGAGGTCGCTCCTCACGTGAACGCGCACCATCTGCGCCGTGCTCAATATCTCCAACACGGCGCCGACTCCAAGCCACGCGCGTTCGCAGTGGCTGGCGGTGTTCACGCGGAAACGAAACGTCTCGTGTTCGCGGGCGGCGTCCCTTGATGTACGGCGCGTTACTCGCGGATATAACGCGTGTTACTCACGGATATAACGCGTGTTACTCACGGATATATCGCGTGTTACTCACGGATACAAAGCGTGTCTCTCACGGACATAACGCGTGTTACTCACGGATATAACGCGTGTTTCTCACGGATATAACGCGTGTTACTCACGGATATAACGCGTGTTACTCACGGATATATCGCGTGTTACTCACGGATATAACGCGTGTTTCTCACGGATATAACGCGTGTTACTCACGGATATATCGCGTGTTACTCACGGATACAAAGCGTGTTACTCACGGATATAAAGCGCGTTACTCACGGATATATCCCTGTTACTCACGGATATAACGCGTGTTACTCACGGATACAAAACGTGTGTTACTCACGGATATAACGCGTGTTACTCACGGATCTATCCCTGTTACTCACGGATATAACGCGTGTTACTCACGGATACAAAGCGTGTTACTCACGGATATAAAGCGCGTTACTCACGGTTGTAGTGCGCGCGTGCCTTCAGCTGTAAGTGCCCCTAACCGGCTCGTTACAGCAGGTCGACGCGAGGCGGACGCAGCGACGCTGCCCCGCCCCCCCGTATCAAGGGGGTTTAAGTTGAGTTGAGGTAACTTTTTTCGAAATTAAACGAGATCGTGAAACTATAACGGCCAGGTGTTGCTGGGAATAAAATAATCAATGAGCTCCCTCATCCTCGTCGTTACACACCCCTGGACTTGAGTCCTGCGAGTTACAAACTTCGTTCGTTACAACAACAATAATAACAACAACAACAAAAGAACATGCAACCAATGGCACGATCACTCTCGCGGCCACGTCACTGCGGCGTCACTCCTCGCCGTCACGTTTCCCCTCTGCACTAGTAACGCATTGCTGACCTCGTGTCGGTGTGTGTATTTGTGTGTGTCTGTGTGTGTCTGTGTGTGTCTGTGTGTGTGTTTGTATGTCTGTGTGTGTATTTGTGTGTGTCTGTGTGTGTTTGTGTGTGTCTGTGTGTGTCTGAGTATTTGTGTGTGTTTGTGTGTGTCTGTGTGTCTGTGTGTGTCTGTGTGTTTGTGTGTGTCTGTGTGTGTTTGTGCGTGTCTGTCTGTGTGTTTGTGTGTGTCTGTGTGTGTATTTGTGTGTGTCTGTGTGTGTTTGTGTGTGTCTGTGTGTGTCTGAGTATTTGTGTGTGTCTGTGTGTCTGTGTGTGTCTGTGTGTTTGTGTGTGTCTGTGTTTGTTTGTGCGTGTCTGTCTGTGTGTTTGTGTGTGTCTGTGTGTGTTTGTGTGTGTCTGTGTGTGTCTGTGTGTGTCTGTGTGTATTTGTGTGTCTGTGTGTTTGTGTGTGTCTGTGTGTGTTTGTGTGTGTGTTTGTGTGTGTTTTTGTGTGTCTGTGTGTATTTGTGCGTCTGTGTGTTTGTGTGTCTGTGTGTCTATGTGTGTGTATTTGTGTGTCTGTGTGTTTGTGTGTGTCTGTGTGTGTTTGCGGTAGTGTAGTGGTTAGCGCGCTGCGCTATGAACTCGCCAGTGACGATTATTTGAACCGGTCCTGGGCCTCCCCTAGGTCGACTCAGCCTCAAATGAGTACCTGGTGAGGTGTGTAAACATCACCACTGGGGAGACAAAGGCGGTCGGGCGTGGTGCTGGCCACCCACCCCCTCGTGTACCGTTCCGGCCTTCATAGGTGCTCGCTAACAGCACTTGCCCCTACAGTCTAAGGTTATACGGGCGATCTTTGTCTTTGTGTGGTTCTGCTCGTAGTTACCATTATGGGGAGCGGTAGTGTCGTGGTTAGTGCGCCGCGCTACAAACCGGCGACTCGAGTTCAATTCCCGATCACGGCCAACACCAAAGACGATTGTCTGTGCGGGTGATGGGCCTCCACTAGGTCGACTCAGTCTCAAATGAATACCTGGTGTGTAAACATCGCCACTGGGGAGACAAAGGCGGTCGGGCGTGGTGCCGGCCACCCACCTCGTCGTGTGCCGTGACGACCTAAATAAGTAGTCGCTAACAGCACTTGCCCCTACAGTTTATTAAGGCTACATGGGGGATCTTTGTCGTAACCATCACTCGGCGCCGCGTGTTAATCGCGGTTACGCGTGGCCAATTTTCGAACGCAAATAACAAAACGGATGCGCTGATTTCAATTAATTTGCGAATACGGAGCGGTAGCCCCGTGTCAACAAAGTCGGTGATGTGATTCGTGAAATGTTCCTCGCATTGTTTTGTGTTTTAACGGCCGACGAAAGACAGCACAATACCCACCGGTACATGTCGAAGAGACGCGTGGAGTTAAATGTCCACTTTCACAACTCGCGTGGATCCACCTCCCAGTTTTTATTTGAAACGGAATCATCGCGCATGACGACGTCTGCACTGCGTCGACGAGACCCGTGCAGCTTTATCGGATCTTTCCATCGTTACGGGATCGATTTGGCAATTCACTTGCATTTGTTTGTTATGCAAGATTTTTCCCACCTGTTTTCGGCGGAAAACTGACAGAATGGGCGAACACCTCCTCTTCTTCGTGTATTTGTATTATTATTATTGGTAATTATAATCTGCATTCCGGCAGCACGCCGTGGTGTATCTCTCCGTTCTGACGATAATCTCAGCTCACTTCAAGAAAACACGTGTTCGCTCTTACTCATTGCAACTTTTAGCGGTCCCGTTCGCCGCTGCCCGCTTTGGCGTTTTGAGGTTATTATTTGTGTCTGTGTTTGGGGGGTGGCGGTGGCGGCGGCCCCGTGCCCAGCAACCACACCGTGATTATGAAACAATCCACGGCTCCGCGTGCAATGGTCACGCATGCGTCCGCCCGCCCGCGCTAAGACGGAGTCTGCGTTTCTCTTCCGTGCGCGCGCGCAGTGGTTCGCACCGACAGCCTCAAGGGCAGGCGAGGCCGCCTCCCCTCCAAGCCCAAGGGCGCGGGGGCAGGGCGGGCACACGGCAGAGTGGGCAGCCCCGGGGAAGGGCAGCAACACGGGCAGCAGCACGGCTCGGGAGGGAACGCGCTGCTGTGCGGCGTGGCGCGGGCTCACCACGACTCGTGGCCGGCAGCCGCGCACCTCGACTACTCCATGGTGAGCTGCTGATGGTGATGGTGATGATGGTGATGATGGTGATGATGGTGATGATGGTGATGATGGTGATGATCTTAGATTTGCAGCTCTCGTGACTGCAAGGAACCATACTCTATGGTTTTTCGGTAAAGTCAAGTAGGTAAAACAATTAAGAAAATAAAATAAATGAAAACAACTAAATTAAACCACGACGTTTCGGAGGCAACACAAGCCTCCCTCATTTTGCTGTGCCGGATGAGGGAGGCTTGTGTTGCCTCCGATACGTCGTGATTCAATTTAGTTGTTTTCATTTATTTTATTTTATTAATTGTTTTACCTACGTGACTTTACCGAAAAAACCAAAGAGGATGATGATCTTGATGATGTACTTAGTTATGACGTGATGGTGATGTCGGTGAGTAGATGATGGACGTAATCTTTGTGGTATGATGGTGACGACGACGATGATGGATGTGGTCAGATGACGATGTTGGCGCAAATTATGATTTATGATGATGTCGATGACGTTGATGGTTAGTTGACGAAAATCACGATGAATGTGGTGGTTATGACATGATGATGGTGGTAAGATGATTGATGATGACGATAATGATGATTGCGGCTATGCCGTTGTGACGGAGTCGGCGTCAGTGGTTAATATCACGGTGATCCCAACAGCGATTACGTAACGAGGCTCGCGTCGAATGAGAACGGCTATGGCTCGTTTCTCTTTCTTTCTAACAACTTTTGACGCACCTCTCGTTACTTCAAGACTCGTGGTGCTTCGCTCGGAGTGCTCAGTCGCGAGCCGTTGTTGAGTCGTTGCGTGTTTTTTTTTTGTATCAACCTTCGAATTCCGACAACGACGCCGACGCGCGGTGATGTTCATCCCGCTCGGGCCTCTTCGGCCGCCGACACCACCCCGAGTCAAAGCAGTCAGCCCGTGTCTCAGTCCACCGCTGCCACGACTGTGCGGTCGACTACACGTCAAACGCACACGCCGTTCATGTTATTCCCTACAATCACTCCACACGTGAATTGTGGCCTTCACCTCGTATCCCCAACCGCCACTAAATACTCGGATCCCCGTATCGTCACTCATACATCATGGGGCTGCAAGCGCTCGTAGACCGCCACGCACCCGAGGAGGTGGGTGACCCACCACGGCCGGTAGCCTTTGACTCACCCAGTAGCTGATGTTTGCACACCGCACAAAGTACTCATTTAATATAAAAGTTAAGCTTTCGTGACTGCAGAAATAAAATAACATTAAAATGTATTTACTTTTTTTTTATTTCTACATACGTGACTCTACCTAGGGGAGGCCCATGGCCCGGTTAAATATTTGTCACCGATGTTGATTTTACAGGATTCGAACTGGGGTCTCCGGGTTCGAGATGTAGCGAGAGCTAGAGCCAGCGACGCATGGTCCTGCTGCTGCGAGAACCACGTCCGACCGCCTTTGTATCCCCAGTCACTGGCGTCTACGCAGCCCACACCAGGCACTCATCTCCAGGCTGAGTCAAGCTAGGCAGAAGGCCCAGGAAAGGGTTCAAATACGGCGTGCCGCACTGATCACGCCCGTGGCCTGGAATCGAACCGAGGTCGGTGGGATCGTAACGCGCAATTTGCAATTGTTTTTTTTTAAATACTCCACCATCATCCCGGCGATGTTGACGCTTTACTCCTCCTCAGCGTCATATTCGCTAACGAAGTCCCGCGCTCAACATTTAGCTGAATGGGAGGTCGCTCTTTCTCCTCTGCTGCTCAGAGTCTGGAACTCCTCACCCCGTCCTGCCATCCGTGCTGGCGGCTCTGTGCTCCTGTTAAGGCGGCAAGATGTTAACGGCCTCGTCTGGTGTACAGAAAGTCGTGGGGTTCGGTCCCGATCCTGACGCCTGTACATTTGCACGTTCTCCCAGTGGTCGCGTGGATTGTTCTCCAGGTCCCCCGGTGTTTCCCTCCACATTTGGAAACACGCTTTTCGCGTAGTTTTGCCGCTTTAAATGTCCACATGATGACAAGCCGCTTCGTTGAGCTGTCATTTGTGGCCAGGTCGCTTCTGAAAAAAATTGCTATATAGCTCAGTGGGCTTTATCTAGTAAAATAAAAACAAATAGTTTAGTTTTCGGTTCAATAGCTTCCTCTGCCCCCTCGCTCTGCGACTGATCGCCTGCATCTCGCCCTGCCGGAAACATTCCCATTGGTTCAGCGCAGCATCTTGAGATGTGGTCGCATTTAGACCCTGCCGGTAAGTCCCCACATCGCTGCCGTTATCGTACAATCCTCGAAGCCCTCGAATTGGGCATTTGTATAGAACGCGGCGCATTCGGAGACGCAAGGCGAACCGATTCATGAATATTAATCTGTGGCCGCGGGCAGCCTACGGAGAGATTCGCCTAAATCAGTGGAAAAAAACCCAGTGGCGTGGATACAACTTTCGCGTTCCCCTTCTCCAAAGAACCACGGCGTTTCGTCTTCCTCCTTCTTTCGTTTCCTCTATCCATCCTCGGTTTACCTTCCGAGTATTCCTGTATATATGTGGAACTTTTGTCGCACCGCACGTAGCCAACCGTGCTAGTTGGAGATGCGGGGGAAGGAAAACAGACTAAAGACAAAAAGCAGTTTTAAGGAAATAAGTTTAAAATTGAGTTTACAATTGTGACTTCCTAAATCAACTCGAGTGGTCTCCTCGTGCACTCTCGCGCGACTTTGCACCGATATTTTTCGTCGAGTACCAGGCGGACCTGGGCTGAAGTCCGGAGCATCGCCCAATAGAGACACGTGCCCCTCTCAATGTGTGCACGTGAGTGTGCGTGAGTGTGCGTGAGTGCGCGTGAGTGTGTATGCGAGTGTTGTGGGGAGCGGTAGTGTAGCGGTTAGCGCGCTGCACTACGAACCTGGCGACACGAGTTCGATTCCCGCTCACGGCCAACACCAGTGACGAGTATTTGAACCGGCCCTGGGCCTCCCCTAGGTCGACTCAGACTCAAATGAGTACCCGGTACGCTGTGTAAACATCGCCAAGATGAAGACAAATGCGGCCGAGCGTGGTGCTGGTCACCCACCTCCTCGTGTGCCGTTCTGGCCTTCATAGGTGCTCGCTAACAGCACTTGCCCCAACAGTCTCTGAAGGCTATACGGAGAGTGTGTGCGGTAGTGTAGCGGTTAGCGTGCTGCGGTACGAACCCGTTCGATTCCCGCTCACGGCCAACACTAGTGACGATTATATTGTACCGGTCCTAGGGCCTCATCTAGATCGGCTCAGCCTCAAATAAGTACCTGGTGCGATGTGTAAACATCGCCATTGGGGAGACAAAGGCGGCCGGGCGTGGTGTTGGCCACCCACCCGCTCGCGTGCTGTGCCGGCCTTCATAGGTGCTCGCTAACAACACTTGCCCTAACAGTCTATTAAGGTTATATGGGGGATCTTTGTTTGTATGCATATACATTAGTAGTCATCTGTATGGTTTTTGTGCTACGAAAAATGTATATTGACCGAAACGTCGCAGGTTAGATATGAATTTCTTATAAGGCAGTGTTGTTGAATATTTTTTTATCTGCTTAAGTATTTGTGTGTGTCTGTGTGTATACATGTTGTATGTGCCTCTTAATCGCTGTGGACGTCTCTGTGTGATGTGTGTGCGCCTTGTGAAGTGTCCCTTCGCGCGTCTTCCGAGTTGTTGCCCGCGTGTGTAGCCCTGCATGTATTTAGAGTGTCCGTCTGCCCCGTCTGCATACCCGCGCGTGCAGCCCGCGCGCGTGACACGCGTGCAGCCCGCGCGCGTGACACGCGGGCACTCGGCTCGCGAGCATCGTGAGTGGCACCCAGGCACGCGCGTGTGTCCGTATCCGTGCGCGAGTCGGAGCGTGCCCACCGCGCGCATCGATCTGCATCGATACACCACCCGCGTCTGCAAAGCCTCGTGATGTGTATCTCGAGCATCCGCGTCTCGTCTGGACGCTTGTCCCCCGTCCGTGTGCCGGGAGCAGTACAGCCCCGCGGGCGAGCACGACCCCGGGGGCCCGGCCGCCGAGGCTGACCACGTGCGCGTCTTCTACGAGCTGCTCGCCACCTCGGCGGAGGCGAGCCGCGCGTGGGCCTCGCGTCTCCCGGGCTTCCCGAGCCTCGCCAGACCCGACCAGGACATCCTCCTCGACGCCGCCATCCTCGAGCTCTTCGTCCTCCGCCTCGCCTACAGGTGACGGAGGGAGGGGGGAGGGAGGGAGGGGGAGGGAGGGAGGGAGGGGGAGGGGAGGGAGGGAGTGTAGACAATACGCGGAGCGTGTGGGAGGAACGCGATTATGGTTTTGGTCACGATTCGAAACGAGGATTGATTTTTTTTTGGACTCGTTTGGAGTTTGCCTCGTTTCTTCACCGATATCGTATGAGGCCGGCAAGGTCCCCCAGTGGGGCAGAATGGCCTGCGTGACCCCCCCCTCCTCCCCCCGTGTGTGTGGCGGTGGAGTGGACGCGCCTTCGTCCGCTCCTGCTCTGTCGCCTCTGCCGAGTTTGCTCTCCGAATTATGCTGCCGAGTTCGTTTCGCTAATCCGAAGCTTAAACACTCGCAACTAACCTAACGCTTCAAATCGTTGCGTTTCTTTTTTAAATATCGTTAACACCGCGGCTCGCTCTTGCACCCACGATTCTAAGAATGCAGGGTGCTTCAAAATACGTTTGTACACTTATGAGAATTTGCAACAATACGACAACAAATGCGCCGCCGGGCTCTGGAGACCACCTGGAGAAGTTGTTGACTATGATGGCGAATAAGTGTGAGACTCTTTTCATTTTTTCAACTATGAACGTACATTTGCTATCACGTTACGGCGTATTATCCGTTCCTTTTCCATTAAAATCGATAGTCCCATATAAGTGTTAAAACACATTGAAGCACCCTGTACTACTTCGACCGATGACCCGACAACGAGTCGCTCCGCCTTGAATTGGGAGGCGACCCGCGGCGTCGTGAGATGGCCTCGTGGGCGCGCGCGACGAGACGTCAGATGACGTCGCCGCCCGCCGGCCGACCACGTGACTCCGCAGTCCCGCGCCGTGGTGCGGCAGCCACGCAGCCGAGTGGGCGGCGAGGCCACGTGCTCATCGTGCTTGCGTGGCGAGTGAGCATCGACCGCCGAGTCTCGAAGACCCCCCCCGTCCCCCTCGGGATGGTCTGCATTGCTCGTTTGGATGCTCACGTTGTAGAGGAGGCGTGACGAGAGGGGGCTCGCTGAGAAAACTCCGAAACACGACCAGAGATCGCTCACGAGGCAGCTGTTATCGGCAGGAAAACATCTCTTAAAACTAAACTTTTTATTTTATCAGGAAAGGCCCACTGAGTTTCATAGTTCTGTTTTTAGAAGCGAGCTGGCTGTCACAAATAATAGCTCAACGAAGTGGCTGATTGCGTGGAAAAATAAAGTAGCCAAGTACTCTAAGGGTGCGACGTTGAATACAAACGTGGAGGGAAAAAACCGGAGGACCCAGAAAAAACATCCACGCCACCACGGGGGAGAGAGACACCGCAAACTCCAAATATAGAGGCGTCAGGGTCGGGATCGAACCCACGACTTCCCGTTTACCAGGCGAGGGAGTTAACATCTCCCCACTGCGCTCTCCGTCTCACGCTTGTGTCGGCTCGCAGCCTGGTGCACGAACCGCACCTCCACAGCGCTGGGGTCCGCGCGCGTCCCCGGTGCGAGGCGGCCACGCGCGCTCCGTGACTGGAGGCGCAGGCCGCGCTCAGGGGGGTCTGTTTCCCCCTCCTCACGTGGCACGAACCCGGATGGATCCCTACTCAACGTTCTATGCCTGTTTAGGGCCCTGAGACAATATTTTTGGGGGGGAATTCCACATTCCCATGGCGGAGGTGAGTTCATCCAGGACAACCACTGCTGACTTCCCACAAGGTGGTACCTTGTCATCGACCCCGCGAGAATGAAGGGTTGAGTCGACCCCCGCCCCCCCATCATGTTCCTCGTCTAGAATTTGAAGCTGGGGACATTTTTCCAATTTGGTGAGCTGCGTGCTCTGACCCAGAAGAGGGAAGGAATGAAGTCCGTGCTGACCAACAACGCTGTCAATAAATAATAATAAATCCTAATAAGTAAAAAAGAAAAAATTCAAGGTGCATTTCACCCAAGGATAACAATGTGCCGTGCATGGCAAGCAGGGAAATAATTCAGGGCCAGCAGCGTAACCGACCAAAACTATGCAGAAAATGCCATTCTAAAGAGGTGATTTTTCAGGGCAGATTTAAGTAGCTCTAAATATTCTGATTGTCTCATTGTCAGAGGCAACGCGGTTCATCGTCTTGGGGCTTCACCGAGGCTCGCGGGGCCACGTGGCACGAGCGGGACATCTGTGCACTAGCGGACAATCCCATCCGTGTAGCTGAAGGAGATGGTTGTGATGACCGTGGTGCCGCGGTGGTGGTGGTGGTGGTGAGCGGTGGTGGCGAGCGGTGGTGGCGAGCGGTGGTGGCGAGCGGTGGTGGCGAGCGGTGGTGGCGAGCGGTGGTGGCGAGCGGTGGTGGCGAGCGGTGGTGGCGAGCGGTGGTGGCGAGCGGTGGTGGTGGTGTGTGGTGGTGTAGCGGTTAGCGCACTGCGCTATGAACCCGGTGACACGAGTTCGATTCCCGCTCTCGGCAAATACCCAGTAACGATTATCTGAGCCGGTCCCGGGCCTCCCCTAGGTCGACTCAGCCTCAAATGAGTACCTGGTGCGGTGTGCAAACATCGCCGCTAGGGAGACAAAGGCGGCCGGGCGTGGTGTTGGCCACCCACCCCCTCGTGTACCGTGCAGGCCTTTATAGGTGCTCGCTAACAGCACTTGCCCCTACAGTCTGTTAAGGTTATCTTTGTCTTTGGTGCAGGTCGCGACCCCGGGAGGGCCGCATGGTATTCTGCGCGGGGCAGGTTCTGCACCCTTCCCAGTGCCTGCGCGCCTTCGGAGAGTGGATGGAGCCCATCCTGGAGTTCTCCTCGTCCCTGCAGTCCCTGCAGATCGACGCCACGGCCTTCGCCTGCCTCGAGATGACGGTGCTGCTCACGGGTGAGCGGTGGCCGTGCGGTCGTTTCGGGTTGTCGGGAACGAAAGTGTTGTACCAGGCTCGGCACCACACCACAGCGATGATGAGTGCGGCTTACGGGTTGCATGCCTGGAATGGGCAGGCCGTCATCCACACAGTGGACACGTGTACGGGGGAAGAAGAAGATGATGATGAGGACGTGATAATGTATGTAATTTCCAGCTTCACATTCACATGTGCGATTGAGCCAGAGCCTAGTAAACCAAAGAGCGCAGCTTCATTTCATCCAGATAGGTAAGGATCGGCGACCCGCAAAATATGTCCCACGCCCGGCACACCACATCCAGTATACATCTCGCTATGGCCACTAATCACGTGATTACTCCAGTCTACAAGCGACACCTGGAAAAATAAATAATGAACAGAAAGCTGACCGCGTCATTAACTCCATCGTAACAGAGGACCAGAATGCGGTAACACCAATTAGCGTCCTGCTACGCCCAACTTAGAAGTGACGTCTGGTCGATTGTAACCCGAACATGTGAAGGGTTCAATGTCCATTGAAGTCTCTAGCTAGCAGGCTGTCTACGCCATAGCTTCATTTGCCCGATCCCACGAACCGACCCCTTCATCTTCACCACGACAACTCAACCTTCCCCTTCCACGCCACTGCCTCTCTTCCACCTGTGGCTCTAGCACCGCTCGATCTCCCTGCTCAACCCCTCCCTCCTTCTTCCTCGGTGTCCCTGCCCCCACGCTCCACCCGCCCCCCCCCAACCTCTCCCCCCCAATGTTACTCTTCTCTCTCATCCTCCCTCTCTCTCCCTCTCTCCAATCCCTCCCGCCACCCACCACGCCGCCCTCCCCCCCCTGTCTCGCCCCCCACCCCTTCATCCCTCGCTCCTCCATCACCAACACCTCCTCCTCATCTCCCTATGCCCCCCCTCCCCGCCTTTACCCCCCACCCCTCCCCACCCCCAGACCGGCGCGAGCTGCGGGAGTCGAAGCGCGTGGCGGAGCTGCGGCGGCGCGTGCAGCAGAGCGCGCGCGAGCACGTGGGCGCGGGGGGCCACGTGCACGCGCACCTCGCGGGGGCTCCCGCCGAGCTGCGCGCGCTCTGCACGCAGGGCCTGCAGAGGCTCTTCTATCTCAAGCTCGAGGAGCTCGTGCCCGCGCCGCCCGTCGTCGAGAGGCTCTTCCGCGACACGCTGCCCTTTTAGACGACGACGCCGCGGCGGCGTGAATTCTTTTTTTTTCGCCCGGTCGTCAAAAACAAACAAAAACCCGCGGCGCCCTGCCCTTGTACAGGAGTGGGTCTCTACACCGGCGCTCCACTCGCAACACCCTGCTCGTTTAATGAGGGTGGTGGGGGGTGGGTGTGACACACCCAGCGAGGCGTGGCTGTTGCTGAGTGCGCAGGCGGTGCAACTGCGCCGCAGGAGCGTAGTCGCCGGGCTACGAAGATTATTTCAGGGTACGGTCCAATTTCCATTCATTGCACTCCAGGGCCCACATCAACCGCGATACGGCACTGGATCCACGAGAGACGCTCTGCCCTTTTACATGATGGGTTGCAAGGGTTGGGTTCTTCGGTAGTGCCCCCACCAGAGACGCCGTGACCTTTCAGAGCGAGGCGTCCCGGGCCTCGTCGCTCGGCTCCACGCCCTGTCCTTTTGAAGAGGGCTGGATGGATGGGTTTGCTTCCGGCTGCGCCTCCAATTACGATGCTGATGGAGAGGCTGCTGGTCTTCGTCTCGTGACGCCGTGCACTTATAGAGAGAAGTCGCCCACGCTCGCTCTTTCTGCGACCACCCTGCGATTTTTTTTAGATGTGGCGTGGGGGTCCCTCGGAGAGGGGAGGGGGGGGGGGGCGAGGGAGGGCAGGTCCCAGTCCAGCCCGACTGGAGACCCCATGCCGTTCCCACGTCGGCCGCCCGGCCTCATTCTCACCGCCACAAGGGCCTGCTGGGGCGTGGGGAGAGGCAGGGTGCCGACGTTCCGCGTCCCCCGCCGTCCCCCTCACTTCCTACCCCATTTATAGGCCGCCCTTTCACGAGAACCCTGCCCTTGGCCTCCGCGTTGTTGGCGAAAGTGACATTTTCGTTGTTGTCTCCTTCACCACGAACGGGACGTGAAATTGATGGCCACGAAGGCGGCGGGGACTTGGCGATGAGGTTATTGTTTTTTGTGCGGCCCAGAATCCGGCTGCTCAATTACAGCGATGGGTGCCGCGCGGTCTCGGGTAGTCAGGGCCATCGGTGATGATGATGGTGATGATGTTGATGATGGTGATGATGGTGATGAGGGTGATGGTGATGATGGTGATGATGGTGGTGATGATGGTCATGATGGTGGTGGTGATGATGGTGATGATGATGGTGATGATGATGATGATGGTGATGATGGTGGTGGTAATGATGGTGGTGATGATGGTGGTGATGATGATGATGGTGGTGATGATGATGGTGGTGATGATGATGGTGATGATGATGATGGTGATGATGGTGGTGGTGATGATGGTGGTGATGATGGTGGTGATGATGATGATGGTGATGATAATGATGGTGGTGATGATGATGGTGATGATGGTTATGATGGTGGTGGTGATGATGGTGGTGATGATGATGGTGATGATGATGATGGTGGTGATGATGGTGGTGGTGATGATGGTGGTGATGATGGTGGTGATGATGATGATGATGGTGATGATAATGATGGTGGTGATGATGATGGTGGTGATGATGATGGTGGTGATGATGATGGTGGTGATGGTTATGATGGTGGTGTCACCTGTCTGGAACCGCACGCAGACGTCCTGGTCACGCTGCTGTTCAACACGAGCTGATGGCAACACCCCTTTCGAGTTCGTTTGAATAATGAATATAATATATATTGTATACGAGTAGGATTACTATCTAAGGAATTAACGATACTTCGAGATATATAGTAATATATATATATACACACGTTGAGAAAGCGTTAGCCGCACGTGCTGTCAATACAACGACATCAGTGACGTGGCGGGTTTTACTGGGGGCGAGGAATTTAAGTGGTGTAGTCACGCGTGTATAATTGTACAGGTCTCACACACACACAGATAAATATTTATTCTCAAAGATATAACACTCCAGTGCCTTGTTATGATGCTCAGAGTATGAATTCCGAGACTGTTTTTAGAGCCGCGACTCGCGTCTTGGTGGATTGGGGCTATTTATTTATTTATTTCACCCCCCCCCCCCCCCCCTGTGGGCATGGGCATGGCTGCAAAAGTGGTTCATGCCAGACGGACTCTCACGGCTGTACGTTATAAAGGAACGTTTTGCTGGCTGGGTGGCTGGCTGGACGTCGCGTCCACATGGAGGGACGGACGGTTGCGAGTATAAATAAATAAATAAACGGGGCTCACTTCCGCTGAGTGACTGACGGATCGTGACATCGTGGTGCCCACACACACACACTGATGGTTCACACACACACACTGATGGTACACACACACACATACTGATTCAGGTACACACACACATACTGATTCAGGTACACACACACACACTGATTCAGGTACACACACACATACTGATGGTCCCCACACACACACTGATGGTTCACACACACACACTGATGGTACACACACACATACTGATTCAGGTACACACACACATACTGATGGTCCCACACACACACACACTGATGGTACACACACACACACTGATGGTACACACACACATACTGATGGTCCCCACACACACACTGATGGTTCACACACACACACTGATGGTTCACACACACACACTGATGGTGTCCACACACACACTGATGGTGTCCACACACACACACTGATGGTCCCACACACACACTGATGGATCACACACACACACTGATGGTTCACACAAACACTGATGGTGTCCACACACACACACACACTGATGGATCACACACACACACTGATGGTTCACACACACACTGATGGTGTCCACACACACTGATGGTTCACACACACACTGATGGTGTCCACACACACACACTGATGGATCACACACACACACTGATGGTTCACACACACACTGATGGTGTCCACACACACTGATGGTTCACACACACACTGATGGTGTCCACACACACACACACTGATGGATCACACACACACACTGATGGTTCACACAAACACTGATGGTGTCCACACACACTGATGGTTCACACACACACTGATGGTGTCCACACACACACACTGATGGATCACACACACACACTGATGGTTCACACACACACACTGATGGTCACATACACACACACAGTGATGGTTCACACACACACACACACTGATGGTGTCCACACACACACACACACTGATGGTCCCACACACACACACTGATGGTACACACACATACTGATGGTCCCCACACACACACTGATGGTCACATACACACACACAGTGATGGTTCACACACACACACACACACTGATGGTTCACACACACACACTGATGGTCCCACACACACACTGATGGTCCCCACACACACACTGATGGTGCACACACACACACTGATGGTCCACACACACACACACTGATGGTTCACACACACACTGATGGTGTCCACACACACACACACACACTGATGGTCCCACACACACACACTGATGGTACACACACATACTGATGGTCCCCACACACACACAGATGGCCACAAACACACACACAGTGATGGTTCACACACACACACACACTGATGGTCACACACACACACTGATGCACCACACACACACCCACTCTGATGGTCACACACACACACTGATGGATCACACACACACACTGATGGTCCCACACACACACTGATGGATCACACACACACACTGATGGATCACACACACACACTGATGGTCACACACACACACTGATGGATCACACACACACTGATGGTGCACACACACACACTGATGGTACACACACACACACTGATGGATCACACACACACACTGATGGATCACACACACACACTGATGGTCACACACACACACTGATGGATCACACACACACACTGATGGTCCCACACATACACTGATGGATCACACACACACACTGATGGATCACACACACACACTGATGGTCACACACACACACTGATGGTACACACACACACACTGATGGTGCCACACACACACACACTGATGAGCCCACACACACAAACTGATGGTCCCACACACACAGACACTGATGGTTAACACACACACACACACACTGATGGTCCACACAAACACACACACTGATGGTTCACACACACACACTGATGGTCCCACACACACACTGATGGATCACACACACACACTGATGGTCCCACACACACACACACTGATGGTACACACACACACACACACTGATGGTCCCACACACACACTGATGGTCCCACACACACACACACTGATGGTACACACACACACACACACTGATGGTTCCACACACACACACACTGATGGTACACACACACACACTGATGGATCACACACACACTCACTGATGGTCCCACACACACACTGATGGATCACACACACACACTGATGGTCCCACACACACACACACTGATGGTACACACACACACACTGATGGATCACACACACACACACACTGATGGTCCCCCCACACACACACACTGATGGTACACACACACACACTGATGGTTCACACACACACTGATGGTTCACACACACACACACTGATGGTCCCACACACACACACACTGGTGGTTCCACACACACACACACTGATGGATCACACACACTGGTGGTCCCACACACACACACTGGTGGTTCCACACACACACACTGATGGATCACACACACTGATGGTCACACACACACTGATGGTACACACACACACACTGATGGTCCACACACACACACACACTGATGGTCCACACACACACTGATGGTCCCACACACACACTGATGGTGCCACACACATACATTGATGGTCCACACACACTGATGGTGCACACACACACACACTGATGGTACACACACACACACTGATGGTGCCACACACACACACTGATGGTACACACACACACACTGATGGTTCACACACACACACTGATGGTCCCACACACACACTGATGGTGCCACACACATACATTGATGGTCCACACACACTGATGGTGCACACACGCACACACTGATGGTACACACACACACACTGATGGTGCCACACACACACACTGATGGTACACACACACACACACACTGATGGTGCCAAACACACACACTGATGGTGTCCACACACACACACACACTGATGGTCCCACACACACACACTGATGGTACACACACACACTGATGGTCCCACACACACACACTGATGGTACACACACACACTGATGGTCCCCACACACACACTGATGGTCAAATACACACACACAGTGATGGTTCACACACACACACACACTGATGGTTCACACACACACACTGATGGTCCCACACACACACTGATGGTCCCCACACACACACACTGATGGTGCACACACACACACTGATGGTCCACACACACACACACTGATGGTTCACACACACACTGATGGTTCACACACACACTAATGGTGTCCACACACACACACTGATGGTCCACCACACACACACTGATGGTACACACACACATACTGATGGTCCCCACACACACACTGATGGTCACATACACACACACAGTGATGGTTCACACACACACACTGATGGTCCCCACACACACACTGATGGTCACATACACACACACAGTGATGGTTCACACACACACACACACTGATGGTCACACACACACACTGATGGTCCACACACACACACACACTGATGGTCCCACACACACACTGGTGGATCACACACACACACTGATGGTCCCACACACACACTGATGGATCACACACACACACTGATGGTACACACACACACACACTGATGGTGCCACACACACACTGATGGTCCCCACACACACACACACTGATGGTACACACACACACACTGATGGTTCACACACACACTGATGGTTCACACACACACTGATGGTTCACACACACACACACTGATGGCCCCACACACACACACACTGGTGGTTCCACACACACACACACTGATGGATCACACACACTGGTGGTCCCACACACACACACTGGTGGTTCCACACACACACACTGATGGATCACACACACTGATGGTCACAAACACACTGATGGTACACACACACACACTGATGGTCCACACACACACACACACTGATGGTCACACACACACACACTGATGGTGCACACACACACACACTGATGGTTCACACACACACTGATGGTCCACACACACACACTGATGGTACACACACACACACACTGATGGTTCACACACACACTGATGGTTCACACACACACACACTGATGGTCCCACACACACACACACTGGTGGTTCCACACACACACACACTGATGGATCACACACACTGGTGGTCCCACACACACACACTGGTGGTTCCACACACACACACTGATGGATCACACACACTGATGGTCACACACACACTGATGGTACACACACACACACTGATGGTCCACACACACACACACACTGATGGTCACACACACACACACTGATGGTGCACACACACACACACTGATGGTTCACACACACACTGATGGTCCACACACACACACTGGTGGTTCACACACACACTGATGGTGCCACACACACACACTGATGGTACACACACACACACTGATGGTGCCACACACACACACTGATGGTACACACACACACACTGATGGTTCACACACACACACTGATGGTGTCCACACACACACTGATGGTCCCACACACACACTGATGGATCACACACACACACTGATGGTTCACACACACACTGATGGTGTCCACACACACACACACTGATGGATCACACACACACACTGATGGTTCACACACACACTGATGGTGTCCACACACACTGATGGTTCACACACACACTGATGGTGTCCACACACACACACTGATGGATCACACACACACACTGATGGTTCACACACACACTGATGGTGTCCACACACACTGATGGTTCACACACACACTGATGGTGTCCACACACACACACACTGATGGATCACACACACACTGATGGTTCACACACACACTGATGGTGTCCACACACACTGATGGTTCACACACACACTGATGGTGTCCACACACACACACTGATGGATCACACACACACACTGATGGTTCACACACACACACTGATGGTTCACACACACACACTGATGGTTCACACACACACACTGATGGTTCACACACACACACTGATGGTGTCCACACACACACACTGATGGTCCCACACACACACTGATGGATCACACACA